GCCAACACTCTTAGGTGACATGTAAAATGCTACTTGAAGTATTGCTCTTGTCAAGTCTCTAAAAGTCCCTGATGCCATTTAAAATTTGCCATTGGGAAGAATTCAGATGTATTTTGTTACAATGGGTCCTGTACAAAAGCAACTTTTTGAAAATACTAATGTGTTTGTGATGGAAAAGTTTTAAAGAGAAGGGGCTGAGGTTTTCCAGTAGATGTAGATGCAGGGATGGTTTCCTTTGACAAAACTCACAATGGTGATAGGGACTGAACATTGGGAGGAAGACAGATTGCTACTCACCTCTGTGTGAATCCGGCCAACCCAAGCTGCCAGGGGGTGTGAAGAAGTGTGTAAGAGACTCAAGCCAGGCTGTACTCAACTTTCAGAAGGGCATTTGAAATGCTAAATGCTCTATGTACATCAGCACACAAGGGATGCTTGCTGGCATTCTTGCTGTATCGTTTTGATACATTTCTTTGTTACTTTAGGGATTTTTCCCCCTAACTCCTTATAAGGTGAGGAGAATCCCTCATATTTTATCTTCAAAACGACCAACTGTGACTGTAGACAGCCCCTGGCTCCAAGCAGCTGGTCAAAAATAATTATGGAATAAGTAAACAGCCCAAACAGCTCTTTACTAGCCTTAAAATAACTTCCATATAAAACACTCCATAAATACTAAATCTCCAAGTTTATATGCAATTAATAATTAATTTATACACATCAATGGAAAGGGATCTGTGGTATTAATACTTTAAAATATCTAATTTGAGAGTAATTTATATTTAGCTATAGAAAGCTTTATAATTCCATCGCTTTTTCTTAATTATATTTCTCCTATGCCAATAATAAAATTCAGTTCCCATTCTTGAATACAAATGAGCTGATCATGCAAAGAGATGGCCCAGCATTTTGATGGGTTGAAAAGTTTATCTGGTGTTCAATTTAAACTTGGATAGGTAGAAGTTGAATCTGTTCTCATGCCATCTATGTTTTGAGTCAAGAGGGCTCAATTATAACCACAGTAGAGTCCTACCTGCTTCTTTCCCTCAGCTCTTCTATTCTCTGTCGTAGGACTTTAGCAGAGTTGCTGTATGATGGGTGTATGTGTGTGTGTGTGTGTGTGTGTATGTGTGTGTGTGTGTGTGTTAGATATTAGAATGAACAGGAACTTTGTAGAGGTACTTTGACCTTGAAGAATCCTTGTGGAAAACAGTGACTGTTTTGCTGACCGGGCAGTGCAGCCATCCCACGACTTTGGTCACAATACAGACTTGTGTTATTGTGTATTGCAAATGATACATAATAAAGAGTCATGGGGGTATGTGAAACTCTCCTTTAGTAAGACAAGTGAATTAGATTAGGGACCTTGGTATGAGGAAATACTTTATGTTACAATCAGTATGCCTTTGTATGGCTGTTCTGGGCTCAGGCCATCGGAGAGGCTGGACCTTCCTGTGGTCTCATAGGCCTTAACATTTCATCCTGGAATGCCTTCTTTCTTCAAGTGACCTGAACTGGTGCACCAACACTTCTCCATTTTTTTCCTTAGGTCAGCTACAATTGCCCTAGTAAACCCCATGCAACTACTACTAATGTGGGGGTGTTGTCTAACAGTCTCTTACAGGATCAAAACATTCTATCCTGCTGGGGAGGTAAACAACAACAACAAAAAAACCAAAAACAAATAAACAAAAAAAACCAAAACAAAACAAAACAAAAAGCTTCAAGAACTCCCTGAAACTGACCAGATGCACTATGCCTTGACCTCCACAGTAAACAGAGGCTTGTTGCAAGGTCTGCCAGACAAGAGCTGCTTAGAAGAGGTTCCCATAAACTGAGACATGCAAAGGACACTCTCCAACCTACTGAGCTGCCTCTAGGCTGTGCAGTGTGCTCCAGGTTTCCCAGCTTTTGTGAGCTGTCGCCCTTGCTGGGGTCACCTTTGGTCTTGGAGTCACTTCTACCCCTGTATGTCACCCTCACCCATATTCCTACAAGCAACGCAATAAAACTCCTTGGTTCAAAAAGTTGGACTTTAGTGGTATCTGTACTTTGGTCTGTTGTGGGTTCCATATCTGGGGTGGAGTGTGTTTTATCACCCACAGCAAGCGGGGATGGTCCCGTGGGGGCAGAGAGTGGGTGGGATAAATACTGGGGAGACAACTTCAGTGTTTCTCAGACTAGCTTTAAGACACCACGACGTCTTTAAATGACTTCCTAATGTAGTCAGGAAAGCCAGAGGGACCATGTGAGACTCTGGTTCTGGTTCTACCTATTGGTGTTTGCAATCCCTGAGGTATCTTTGGTTCTCTTGAGAGCCACTATTCTCCTGTGTGAAGGAGGGTTATAATCTGACCTTCCCTACCCTCTGGCATTGCAGTGAAGATCAAACCAGATAGCATATGCAAAAACACTTTGAAATATAAAGCATGATACAAATGTCTGTTGCTTTTTCACACAGAATGCTTAAGGGATTTAAAGAAATCCCGCTGTGGTTATAGGCAGATTAGGATAAAAGACCATGGCGAAATTCATCCTCACTAATAATGCATTCAGAGCACATGGAGGTGGTATTTCTGTGAATTAAATATCACACCTTCCCTGTGTTTCCTGGGAGAGTGAACGGCTGAGAGTCTTTGGGTCCAGCGCTGGAGCTCCTAATTCCCCATCTGTTCCCTTGAGTTCACCATGCACCAGATGACCGGAGTGATTCTGTGTCTCCCAGACTCTGATTGTCCATGATCCTCCTTCTGAAGCCACACGGGTCTTTCCTATTACAAGAGCTCCTCCATCAAATCGATACCACTGTGTCCTAGTGAGTCCTGTCCAGTGGGCAGTGATTTGGTATGGTGACAAAGAGGCTATTCTTTCTCTGATTTGTGATAGCATAGATGTAGTCCAGGTACAAGTGGCATTTATCTGGGGACAGGGGTTACACCACATGGTTTTAGTTTAACCTTCTGCCCAGTGCCTCAAACCAGCGTTTGCACTTAGTTAATATTTACTGCATTTGTGTAATAAGTGTAGCAGCAACTTGCTTTATTAGGACTTTCACACAGGCTTTTAGAGTATCTGTTTAACTGAAAACTAAATATTATATAGCACTTAAATTTGGGATGATGACAGAGCATGGTAAATGCTCTTGAGCAGCACTGACTACTTCACAACTTCTTTTCTGTTCTACGCATATTGTTTCCATGGCCTGTTGAGGACAGGGTAAGACTATATGCAAGAGAGAGTAAAGGACTGGTTGGAGAAAATAAAATCTAGTACTTGCCCTGAAGGGTAAAAACATGAATAAGCTAGAGAGGACACCGGCACTGAAAAGCTAAACTTGTTATTAATATAAATAATAAATAGGAGTGTAAGCGGAGCCGAAGCATCCCTAACTCACAAGAACAAATTATCTTTTCATGGTACTCTTGTTACTATTATTGACATGTTTTACAGTATTTACTTTTTATGTCTATGGGTGCTTTGCCTTATGTTTGTATATATACCACCTATGTCCCTGGTTCCCTCAGAAGAGGGCGTTAAATCCCCTAGAATTGGAGTTACAGATGGTTGTGAGCCACTATGTGGGTACTGGAACAGAACCCATGTCCCCTGCAACAGCAAGTGCTCTAAGCCACTGAGCCCTCTGAAGCCCTGAGTGACTGGCATTTTTACTTTTCCTTTGTTTCAACGTCAAAATATAACATTCCAGTTTTCAGAAAAGCATATCTATAATTCTACTTCCTTAATCTTTTTTGTTTTCTACATAGCTTTCAGTCTTTGTGCCAATGCATTAGTTTTTTAAAGAATGTTTTCTGTGGTGCCTTGCTTCTGAGCATGTTATTGTTTCTGAGTTGTCCTAGGAAGACTGTTTGAGGTGAGGGGGCTCAGAATTCCGAACGACTCCAGGAATTCTAATCTATGTTGTTCAGAAGCTGGCCACATGGCTGGGCAGTTCCGGGACAGCATGTTCTCAAGTTTAAAAGGTCCAGTGCGGATGTGGAAGCAGAAAATGGCTCTGGGCTGTAAAGCGAGACAGAAACCCAAATGGGAAAGGAAAGGCAGTAATGTAGCTCAAATAAGTAAAGCAATTTCAAATGTTATGAAAGTCTCTCCAATGTAATCACAGCAAACAAGGAGGAAAAGGTAAAACCCATCTAAAGTAACAGCCGCCAGTGTCCAGGCACTTCTACACTCAGTATTAAAGGCAGTCTACGGGGACTTTAGCAATGTAAGGGGCCTCTTAAAACACTGGGGAATGGCAAGCATGATGGCAGGCCTGTAATCCCAGGACTTGGGAGATGAATGCACCCTATTTTTTAATTAAAATGACATTAATCACTTTCACCCTCCATCTGGTCTCTCTCTAGCTCCTCCTAAGGCACCCTATATAAAAACCCTCCCATGTCGTCCTCACTCTCAAGTTGATAGTCTCTTTTTCGTTATTAGGTACATATGCATGTCTATGCATATCTGCATATACATAAATGTATATGTATATCTATCATCTGTATATCTGTCCATCCATATCCATCCATCCATTCATCCATCCATCCATCCATCCATCCATCCATCCATCCAACCATCCATCCTGGAGATATAACCTGCTCATTTTGCTTTTTTGTTGTTTGTGCATAGTTTCAGGGCTGACAACTCAGGGCTGACAACTCTGCATTGGACAACCAATAAGGGAACTCATCCCTGGGGTGAGGCTAATTCTCCTTGTAAGATTCAATAGTGACAATATTGGTTATTAGGTCTTTTTAGGTTAGTTGGGTTTCAGGAGGTGTTACAAACGGCCAAACAGAGTAGGGACTGTCTAAAAACTGCATCCAAAAGACACGTTAGGTTTGAGGGAGGCTGCTCAGATCCTGCCCTGACAGAGTTCTGGGGGGCAGAGCAGGTGGCCCGAGCACCGCTAGCTGTGCGTTTTGCGGGTGGCCGCCAGGCGTCGCGCTGGAGCCGCGGTTGCCCTGGAGACCGCTCAGCGAGTGGGCAGGCGGGCGCTGAGCCCCTGGCTGGGGAATAGCTGGCGGGAGCCTGGGGGAGTGGCTGTGGCGGCTGGTGGTGGCCGCGGCGGCCGGCGAGCCCGGGACGCCCGAGCCTGCCCCGAGCCTCGGCGGAGCGGAGCGGCCTGGGTGCTCCCGTGTCCCGCTCGGTCCCTGCTGCACCCCGCCGCCTAGGAGCCCGGTGGACGGCGGCTCCCGCGGCGGCTCCGGTATGACTCGGCGGCGCTCCGCTCCGGAGTCCTGGCTGCTCCTGTCGCTGCTCGGTGAGTAGCCCAGCCCGGCCCCGTGCGCCCGGCCGGGACCCAGCCTGTTGGCTCCCACAGAGGCTGGGAAGTGGCTGCCCCGGCCGGTGGTGGATGGTGGAGGCCCGCGTCACCCAGGTGTCCCCGAGCGAGCCAGCGCAGTAACCCCTGAGAGGCTCCTGGCCGCCACTTCCCAGAGGGAACTCTCGCGCCGGTCCAGTTAGAAAATCGCGTTTAGAATCGCTCGCCGTTTACTAAGAAGACTCCTGGAAAACTTTGTAGCTTTTCCGCAGCCTTTTAGAAGATGGAGATTTTTAGAAAGAATTAAATTGATTAAAGTATGTTCGCAATTTTTAAAAATGTAGCTTCATTATAACATTTAAAACACATGCAAGATTAACCATTCACATATATACATATATACACACACACACATATATATTTATTTAATGCATCAGTCTACTCGATTAAACCGAAAAGCAAAGTTTATTTACACTCTTAGTTTTCATAACTGAAGGACCAAAGTTGCCTCATGAAAGTACATAGAATGTAGCAATATGAGGAAGAATTTAAAAGCATTTGCTTATTCACATTTACTTTAATATTTCTTGTGTTTTGTCTCCCCCCATCATATGCAGGCTCTGAATTTCATTTTATACAATGCCCCCTTTGTGTGTGCATTGTTTCATGGAGTTAAGTTTTCTGTCTCAACTAATTGGTTGCCGAGGTTTACGGAAATTTGTTCTGAAGGCTTTTATTTATCAAGCTAGTTTAGTGGTGTAGAGTGCAGTGACTAACTGTATTTTTCTCTAGATATCTCTGTAGGTTTCCAGTCATTTTTTAAAATGGCTAATCTTAAAGTAACCCAATTTTAGACTGTTTGCCTAGTAGAGGAGAAAGCGTAGCAAAACATTAAGCATACCTTTTTTGGTAGATGCCAGGGAAACATGAGAGTTCTGAGTTATTGGAGCTCAGTAGCCATATTTCTAGTGACAATATACAGATAAGTCATATGCACCAATATGTACTTTCATGCACTTGGGTTTCCAAATTGAATTTGCCGTTACCACTCTCATCAGGCCTGTAGAATTCTCTACCCTTCTTACAACCCTTGAGCACATCTGGAATGTTATAAATGTTGCTTTAAGGACAGCTGTGATGGGGATTGTCCTTCTGTATGCTGTGCCTATCAGCTGAAATGTTTTTGATAGGGAAATCTATTGTTAAATTTGGCTCATTGGCCAATAGAGTTTGGGTATGGGTTGATTTTGAATTTATTGGGCAGTACTTTTAAAGGGGTAATTTCATTTCTAGAATCAGCCAGGCACAGTCACCTGATTTATGCCTTTGCTTTGGGTAGAACTATCACTACTCAGTACTAGAGTGCTTCTGAAGGCTTCCAGCGTAGTTTCCATCTTCCGGATAGTCTATTCTGTAGAGCCACTTTCATCCTTAAAAAAACATGTCCTCTGTTCAACAGATACTTTCTGCTGCCACTGGGTGCATGAGGGCATCTGGTGTGTGGGTGGGGGGAGAATGGGGGAATATCAAGTTTGTCTGCAGCCCTCATGAGATTGGGCTATCAGCATGCCCAAATCATGTATGGTGTGACAGATAAGTGATGAGTAGTGACATCAAGGACTGTTTATTCACTGCGGAGTTAACTTTTGATCTGGACTTGGGTTGTGCAGAATTTAGGTGATCTAAACTGAGAATGGTTGGGCTTCCGTAGCTGAAGGAACAGTGGGAGCAGAGCATATATGGAGGGGAAGTTCAGGGGCATGTTCTTGAGAGGGCAGACTTCTAATTGGAGGAGCAGAGAAAGGGCAGAGGGAGGGGTGGAGATGGTAGGTAAAGTGCTAGTTAGGGCTTGGGAAAGGCCTCAGGGCAGTTTCCTTATGTGCCAGGGCAGGAGGGTGTGCTGAGGGAGGGAGGTGCTGTTTTTCCGGTGTCCAGGAGAATATTGTGTCCCAACTGAGCTCTTGAACCAGGCAGTGGCAACATTGGTTTGAGTGAATTGTGGTGTGTCTGTTATAAAGGGGGGTGGTTGGGTAGGTGGACTCTGGATAAGTGACCGGCAGCAGTGATGCAGGGTTAGGGTTAGGGTTAGGTGATACAGGGACAGCACACCACTAATAGAAGGGCCTCTGCAGTAAAAGAAGGAAAACTGGTGTCATGACATTGCTGTTAATTTTGTTAATTAAGTTCATAGGGAATTTTGTTAGAAAAGTTTACTTCGGTGTAATTCCATCAATGGCTTAGAAGTAGTTTATACGAGCCAGGTATGGTGGTGGTGCACACCTTTAATCTCAGGGCTCAGGAGGCAGAGGCAGAAGCAGGTGAATCTCTGTGAGTTCAAGGCTAACCAGGCCAGCCAGGGCTACATAGTGAAACTCGATATCTGCAAGTGAATAAGAAATATCTGAACTATTTCTTCTATCGGGGATTCCTTTATAATAGCAGATAGTTTTAAAGGCCATATCAAAGCGCCTTGAATTTTTTAGTGTTGGCATTTTGAGAAGTTGATTGTAAATTCCCATTTCCCAGCTTTAAATTTAAGTATGTAACTGTTTTGGGAAGATTTCACTTTTTAGTCAGATCTGTAGTTTGACCCTCTTGAAAGATGAGAGATACCATGTGAAGATGCTAGAGAAGTTTAGCTTGCTCAGTCTGCAGTACTTAGGAAGTGGTTTAAAGTTAAGTCATTCAGAGTTCTTTATGATGTCATGCTTAGAAGTGTCATCAGATCCTAGGTGATGATGCAATGGCAAAGGCGTTTGTTTGGGCTCTTAGCCCCTGGTAACGGTAAATGGCACATTTTCAAATGTGTTTTCACACTTCAGTAGTGACAAGGTGATGTGTTGGGGCACAAGATTCTGTATCCTCCCAGTAACAGGAAATGTGGGATGGGCAGTGTTCCCTGGAGTTGGAACAAAGCTGGGGAATTGTTGCTTTGGCTTTCAAATTCTCTCTAAACCTGCTATGGTGCATGTGTGTGATCCCAGCATTTGGGAGGCCAAGACAGGAAGATGACGAGTTCTAGACCCTCTTAGTCTGAACCACATAATGAGTTCTATGGTCGAAATCTGCGCTATACAATGAAGCATGGTCTCCGTTCCACCCTTTTCTTCCACCGATCTCCTCTAGAAGCACTTTATTTAAAATAAAGGTTCTAGGTCTATTGTTATCTGGGCCAATAATTTATTTTGCCTCCCTCAGCTTTTACCTATGTTTGACATTTTGAAATAGGAATTCTGAATTTCTAGCCTTGTCTCTTGCTGTAAGCACACACCACAATTTCCCCCTTGATGAAGACTAGCTGGCACCAACAGGTCTCAGCCTGCACTCCAAGAAGAGCACCCCTCCCCACCATCTGGAGGGTGTCAGGTCCTCTCCTGATCATATGTCTGTGAACAACTGGTTCAAGAGAGGTCGCCAGTCCCTGGGTAGGCTTCCAAAGCCATCTGGGTAGTTGACATCCCCTGTGTAGGACTTCGTGTGTAAGAGCGACTATGGCCATGGCTTGCATTTGTTGGAGACATGAGAAATCAGAAGGAGAGATGCATTTTCTAAGTTGCAGATGAGACCTTCCCCAGCGCTCTGCCCCATCGTACCACGGCCAGCATCATTGATTGTGTAGCTGCTAAGCTGTGTGGCTCTGTCTTGCTCCTGTATTACAGGAAGAAGCGGATTGTAATGATCATCCCTCAATTTTTATGATTAGGTTAGGATGAAACCAATACATATTTGCAGGTGTGGATATAGGCTGCTTTTTTTTTTTTTTCCTTTTGGAAGAGGGCCCTCATTTTGATTGACTAAACTTTTGGATCTTAAGATGTAGGTAAACTGATATTAATGGTGTACTTTCTTGGGAAGAGTAAGTAAGTTTAAATCCTGGAAGCACTGAGCTCAGGAAATAAGTGTACATTTTTTTTTTAGAAGAATTTTCAGAGAATTAGGTTAACATTGGCTTTGGCTGATGTAGGTCAGGATTTGGGGATCAAGTACAGTATATTTGTGAATAGGAACATAGATGCCATGTTTTCATTGAGGGTGACAGGTACACAGGGTGACGTAGTGAGCATAACGTTATCTTAATGGAGCCACAGCTTGGCTAGTCCTAAAATCACTAGTTCAAAATTTTAAAAATTTGAAAAAAATAAAAGCGTGTTGGAAATCTCACCACTGGAAACAAAACAAGGTTCTCCTGTAGAGGATACCCCCTCCCCACATCCCTGTCCAAAGTCTCATGGTTCACATCCCTGATTATGCAAGTTTTCTCTACTGTCTTCTTGCTAATGTCCACTCTTGTCATTTGTTTTTTCTCCCCCTTCTCGCCTGTTTTGGAGTATGTCATGGCTTTCTGATGGTAGCATCAAATTCTCCGAGGGTAAACAGGTTAGTCATTCTTGGCTGCATCTAGTTATTCATTGTACCTAGTTAAAGTAGTGATAAAAAAACAACAACCGGTACCATAAAAACAGATGCAGAGAGCGTCTCGGCATCTGGGCATTGGTGGGCATATGAGGGAGGCTGAGAACTACATGGGCTATTTCCTCCTTGTTCTATGCAGGTCACTCTGTGCATGTTCTTGGAATACCTGAAAAGAATATTGCTTTCTTTTTGAAAAGAAATGTGGACTCTGTTGTCATTTTAGGAATTGGTTTTTGCCTCCTGTCAGTCTATATTATAATTATACATATGTAATACACATTATGTATGATTTATAAATTATACTAAGGTTTTGCATACATTTTGTAGAAGAGGTGACAGAGTTACCTTCATAATTTCAAATAAATTCTGTGAATTGTTTGGAAATATTAAAAATATAAGGACTTACAGCTTTTGACTGATTCTTACCTTATCTGTGATTTTGTTGATTTTTGAAGTATGTTTCCCCCTGTTTGCTCTTGTAGTAAAATAATCTCAGGCTTTTGGCAATTCATTGTAACCTGAAGCTTCCTACTTCCATACCTGGTCCATTGTCAAACCCTTAGGTTAGAACTTACTTTCTAAGAAAG